CCTTAGTCGAAATAGCTTTCGTCTAGCCATTTGTGCTGCAATTTCACATTGGGTACTCCAACTGTAACCTACAGTTACGATGACTCCTAGTTCCCTGGCACTGGTTACAGTACTTACTTCCAATTGCTCCCAGTCACCGAGAGCCTTCAATGGTTCCCCGATTCTAGAGCGTACCTGAATCTTTGTTGCATTTGGTGGCAGATCCCATGCGTGTGAACACTAGACCACCTTTGCAATATCACCTTCTAAGTTTGATCTTCCACTAGATTCAACCACCTTTCCATCATCAGCCAAGATGAAGCAAGGTGAACTGGTAGATCATTCATGAACAACAGAAGTAGAAGCGGGCCTAACACCGACCCTTGTGGCACGCCATTAGTGACATGAAGGACGTTTGTTCTCCTACCCTAACCTAGAATGTCCTATTGGTCAAGAATGCTGCCATCCATTTAAGAACTATTTCTGTGATTTCCAAAAAACTTAGCTTATGTACAAGCAGTCTACGACTTATGGAATCGAACGCCTTACTGAATTCTAGATAACATATTACTACTGTTCTGCCTTCGTCAACCATCTCAGTGGCTATGTCCAGGTAACATAAGAGGTTAGTCAGGCACGACCTGCTTTTCATAAAACCATGCTAGGCCACGCTTAGTGCTGCATACACTCGAGGTAGTAGCGTGGCATCCCAACTCTTAGATTTTCTATAAACGACAGATTTTTAGATGCATTTTAGAAATACTGATATCGAACACAGCTGAAATGGAACAGATTTTGTTCTGGGTAGACTCTGAGTGATTTGTAAATAATTAATTTGTTTTCTTAAGCTTAATTGACTTTTTCCGGAAGATATAAATACCGCAACCTAATGCCGGCGATCGCTTATACGCTCATATCAACCATGGCTCATGCTGACGATACGGTCGTTTTTGAACGAATGGTAAACATATGCTATGAAGCTCTGGACGAATTCCTGGAGGAAATCCGTGAATCCAAACCGGTTATGTGCACTTTCTTCTACGTTTATGCGTCAGTAAAACCCGAAAAACTGATATGGGGGAGAACGTTTGGTCGTTAAATGACGCTGCTTGAGGATTTTCCGAACTATTTAATCAAATATTGCTGTGTACGTCACAGAAGACGCAATGGAACTGCAACCAGGTGATTATGCCTCTTATTTCTAATGTATTTAACCCATTTTAGGCTGCGAAATATCGACTGTCCGGCATTCTTTGGAATTCGCACGGTCGAGAAGGAGTACCGATTGATGAAACGTTGTCTGGTGCACAACCATGACTTCCATGTGGGTCAGCGGGGTTTGTGTATAAGTAATCGTCGTCTATCTGGAGAACAGGTGGAGGAAGTGTGTATTTTGATGGACACTTTTAGAAGTACTCGCGAGCTGAGTGTTTTCGCCACACATAATTTCAAGAGACTCTTAACCATGGCGGATATTAGATCCATTCGTCGAAGAAGATCTCATTCGGATTCACGTGGCATCTGGGAACCAGAAGCAAAAGAAGCTGAAAATTAAAAAACCGACGAAACCCACTCT